CTTATACTCTTGCAAAATGCAAAAGAATTAAGATTTTTTTAACTAAGTTCATGTAGTTACTGTGTTAAAATGTTTCAAGGTGCTGTGTTGAAGGCTTTGCATGTAGCAGCCCTTTTTTACAGAGGAACCAGTTGAGGCCCAGAGGTTTTTCAGTGGTAGACCTGGAATTTGAGCTATTGTCGGCAGAGCTTGGCGCCCAGCTCAAGCTCAGATATGAGTAATAACTGAGAATGTTTATGAGTGAGTAATTGGCAAGATTCACAATTGGGTCAGTGGTCACCCCTTCTTCCCCACAGGGAGTCGACATCCGCCACAACAAGGACCGAAAGGTTCGGCGCAAGGAGCCCAAGAGCCAGGACATCTACCTAAGGCTGTTGGTCAAGGTGAGGTCGGGGTCTGAGATCTTTGGGTAGGGTCATCCCAGGTCTGTGGGTGATGGGTGAATGAAGACTTTCAGATTCTCCATTCTAGTATTGGTACCCGACTGCCTAGGGGTCAGCAGGGCAGGTTCCCGACTCTGGTTCTGTCCCAGAGCTTCCACAGTTCAGTGTTTTCAGCCTCTGGGCTGTATACAACTTGGGAGTGGGGAGAGAATTTTCTGAGTTCCTGGCCAGGAAGCGTCCCTCAACCCATGGGATGGGGGAAAGCCATATAAACCTCTCTAGCCCAAATTATCATTTGTTTGCCTTTTCATTAGAAAACTGTGGGGGAGTAGGCTGTCCCAGGTTCTTATTCATCCTTTTCCCTTTTCCTCCAGCTGTACAGGTTTCTGGCCAGACGAACCAACTCCACCTTCAACCAAGTTGTGCTGAAGAGGTTGTTTATGAGTCGCACCAACCGGCCACCTCTGTCCCTTTCCCGGATGGTGAGTGGCTGGTCCAGGGAGCATAGTAGACCTGGGGAGCCACTGGGTCTTGTCTGTCTGGATCTGGGCTCTGGGAGGGAGGGCTTGGCACTCTGCCTTAGCAACCTGAGCATCCACTGGTTTATCTTAGCTAGTGGTAGGTGCAGAGCTCTGACCGTTGGTTGAAGCTGAATATATGGGTGACTGGCTTGGCTTCTTGGGCTCATTTCTTTCTTATTGTAAGATGGGGATGGATATAGTGGTTTCATGAGATTGCCCTGAAGCTTCAAGTAATACAATGTGAGTTTTACATGTCAAAAGCAATCTGTTGAACAATCTGTGCTTGCATTTTGTCATCTGGAGGTTTTCCTGTGTTAGACCAGAAATGAGGCCTGTTAGTTTGGGAGATGTGGCATGGGTGAGTTTAGTCCATTCAGAAGGCACAACTGTCCTGGTCCTTGGGATGCCTGAAGCAGGGGGATTGGTTTTAAACATCAGAAGGACTTCCTTACGATGTGCATTCCCCCAAGATCCGGAAGATGAAGCTTCCTGGCCGGGAAAACAAAACGGCTGTGGTTGTGGGGACCATAACAGATGATGTACGGGTTCAAGAGGTGCCCAAACTGAAGGTGAGTGGGGGCTCAGGTGTGGTGGGTGGGTTAGGGGATGCTACTCAAATCCTCACTCTGCTGTGTGGCATCAGCCTTGTTTTGTCACCTCTACACAAAGTCCTCAATCTTTTTTTGCCTCAGTTTCCTTCCACTTTAAACATGTAGTGTTATAGTCTTAAAGGAGTTTCTAGACATAAAGTGTTAAGAACAGCTGCTGTCAACCTCTTGGTAATAGTTATTGGTGTTAGTTATCGGGCCTAGCAAGCAGCTGGGACTCTGCTGGGCCAGGGCAGTGGGTGGTAAGTCCCAGCAGCCCCCGGGTGGCCGTGTAGGGGGCTCTGACTCACCTCCCTTGTCTTATCCAGGTGTGTGCACTGCGTGTGACCAGCCGGGCCCGCAGCCGCATCCTCAAGGCTGGGGGCAAAATCCTCACCTTTGACCAGCTGGCTCTGGACTCCCCCAAGGGCTGTGGCACTGTCCTGCTCTCTGGTGAGTGATGCTTAGTGGCTCCTGGTGGGGCGGGGGGGTTGTTGGTGTGAGACTACTGGTAGCCTTTACCCTTCCAGGTCTGGAAGGTCAGGGACACACACACACACCTGCCCCAAATCATTCTCAGACCTGTGAAGGTCAAATGGAGAGGAGCTCCCTGCAGGAGGTCTAGGTGCCAGGTCCCTGCCTGATCCACTCATCCCTTCCCCAGGTCCTCGCAAGGGCCGAGAGGTGTACCGGCACTTTGGCAAGGCCCCGGGAACCCCACACAGCCACACCAAGTGAGTATCAGACCTCTGGCCCTGCCCTCTCCTCCTGACCCCGCCTTGCAGGTCCAAGCTTAGCCATCCTTCCAGCTGCTTCTCCTGTTTTTCACACTGATCCAGCCTCCTTAGAACTCCCTCCCGCCTCACCTCTGTTTGCCAGGGTGTAGAGCTCCTGGGCAGATGTAAAAAACACAGGCTCTCAAGGGCCTGCCACAGGTCTGGGTCGCTGGGAGCCTGTATCCTACCCAGTCTCTGTGTAGGCTCAGGGTTGGGGCGTTCCAGGGCCTTTTGCAGGCTTTTCATCAGCCACTCCTGGCTTCTTGGCTTCCCGCACTGCCGAGGTTTTCCAGCAGGCCACTTTATGTCACCCTTGACTCTTGTACCCTGTGCTACTCCATTAGCTAAAGCATCACTCTGCCGAGTCCTGGGTTTGACAGAAAGGCCCTAAAGGCTGCTGGTGTTCCTGGCTTCATCTGTAGTACAGGCTCCTTCACACCCTCGTTTCTCTCCCCGCAGACCCTACGTACGTTCCAAGGGACGGAAGTTCGAACGTGCCAGAGGCCGACGGGCCAGCCGCGGCTACAAAAACTAACCCTGGATCCTGTCCTATTATTAAAAAGATTTTTGGATGCTGATGTCACTCTGTTGTTGGGGGGCGGGGGATTGGCGCTTGCGGGTGAGATGCGTTTGCTTTGGAAAACCAAACCCAAACCATACCAAACCGTGCCCGTGGAAACCAGCCCCTAAGAGTATCCCGGGGAACCGTAGACTCCGTCCGGGTCGGGCGGTGCCTTCTGGCCGTCTCGGCGCATGCGCGGTGTCTCATAGCTCCTCCTGGACCCTCAGTGCGTCGTAGGCTTGGAACCCCGCCTCTTTGCTAACAGCCAGGTGTCAGGTGTTTGCGCACCTGCTTCCTTCTCGGATTAGCCGTACTTAACCCCTCTTAAAAGTCCCCGCGCCCCTCTCTGGATCTCTCGGGCTAGAGACTGCGGGCGGGACGTGGACAGGGTGGGGCCGCGGTGGAGGAGGGAATGCGTGGGAACCTGTTAGGCACCACCTCCTCCCCCGGGAGCAAGCAACCAGAGTGGCAAACGCTGGCCTCTGGGCGAGCACCCTTGTGTATGCTCACAGGGAACCGCACCCCCAGACCTCCACCAGGGACCTGTCTCGGCCCTACCCCTGTGTTTGCACAATGGGCTGGGTCCCCCGGATCTCAGGCTGAAGCCTGATGAATAAGTTGAGAGGGCCGGAAGAACTGCTTAAGTAAAGACAGGAGGTCTCTACCCACTTATGCTCACAGTCCTCTGAACAGGTAAGAGATGGAAGGAAGGGGATAGAGACCTGGACACGGAACGGTGTGCATGGCAAGAGGGGGACGTGTGGGGCGAGTGGGCAGGAGGGAGGCTTTATTCCTCCTTATTGGTTCTCTTTGCAGGGCTTCTTGCTGTGGTCTGGAGAAAGGCAGCTGCCTAGGTTGCTGGAATTAGTAGGAGCGGCTGCTGGTTTGCAGGGGTCAGGGGTTCAGAGGCCTGAGATTGAGTCAAGAGTCTCAAAGAGGCAGCTGGGGCTTGGAAGGGAGACAGGACAAGATAGAGAGTGGTCTGTGTCTTGGAAAAAGTGGACAACCAGTTGGCAGGAGATAGTGGGATTCAGGCAGAAAACCACTTGGGGTCGGCTTAGCCAGGGCTCAGCACAGATAGAGGACAGCCTGAAACAGCTCCGTGGCCAGGACACAGGCAGGGGCGACCGACCTGAGGAACAGTGGCTGGTTAGTTGGGCTGTCTAACCTAGATGGGCTATCAAGATCATGGACCAGTTCTATAGTAATGGGAACCCCAGTCGTGCACATCACCATCCACCCCAGCAGCTGGAGGCAGTGTGAGGGTCCAGGGAGCAGGGTCCTCAATTGACAAGGAAGGAGACCAAAGCCTAGTTCCCAGCTGTGGGGAAGGTTATGCTGAGATTTAGGGCTGGAGTGCATTCTTCTAAGACTGGGACAGCAGGTCCCACTGGGAGGCATCCCAGGTGGTCAGCCAGTAAGAGCTATTGAGTTGGCCGCTGGTTGATGGGAGAAACTCTCCTAGGCAGACAGACAGCCTGGGACAGTTGGGTGCTTCACCAGGACATCAGATATTGAGATGGTAAGTTAGAAGTAATTGGTGTTTTCCTGACAGTGAAAGAGACAGCTGGAGAGGGCCAGTTAGATGTGCTGTGGGCCAGGGTCAAAAAGGCAGCTCTCCAGTACATTAGTTAGGGACAATTGGGTGACTGGAGACAGGCAGACAGCCCGTTGCCTAGAAGTGGTCAGGCAGCCAGACCTTTGGCCATGGGTGGGTGGTCAGCCTGACCAAGTTCAGGAGAGCTAAAAGGTCTGTTGGGGCATTGTGCGGCCAGCAAGCTGGAAGTTGTCGTGTGGTTCAAGCAAAGATGGCAAGCTGATGGGTCACGTAGTTGGAGATGGTGTCAGGCAGTCAGCCTGACTATCAGTGACAGCTGGCACGAAGGTCAGAGATGGCCAGCCAGTCACTCTGTTGGCTGGTGACAGGCAGACAGTTGGTCTGGGCAGCCTGAGACATTGGGTGGTCAGTCATTTGGACAGTCTGATTGGATGGTGAGCTAGAGACAGCCTCAGGGAGCCATTTGGACATTTGCAAGGCTACCCTGGAGGCCTCCAATGGCCGCATAGTCTGCCTGTTAGGAGACCCCCAGATGGTCTGTCTCCCAAAGACAATCAAACCTTCAGGGACCCAGCCTCTCACCTCTCACAGTCCTCCCACTTGAGTGGCACTGATGGCTGCCTCCCAGCTGGCGGCTCTGGAAGGAGTAGAGTCAGGGACCAGGGCTCTGCCCCTGACTGAGGCTAGCCCTGGTTTCCTGTACTCTGAAGGCCAGCGGCTGGCACTAGAGGCTCTGCTGAGCAAGGGCACAGAGGCTTTCCAGGCATGCATGCAGCGTGAAGGGCTGCGGCCCTTCCTGAGTGGAGATGAAGTCCAGAGCTTGGCAGCAGCAGCTGAAGACTGGACAGTAGCCAAGCAGGAGCCCAGTGGGACAGCAGAGGGAGCCCACATCTCTGATGGGGATGTGGACAGCCTGACCTACTGGCCTGGGCAGTCGGAGGAGCCAGCACCCATCCTGCGGCTGGGCTGGCCGGAGGACTCAGCCTGGAAAGGAATCACCCGGGCACAGCTGTACACCCAGCCACCTGGAGAGGGCCAGCCACCTGTCAAGGAGCTGGTGCGCCAGGAAATCCAGGCTGCCCACAAGGTGGGTGCCTCGGGGCCTGGTGTCCATTCCCCAGGCCCGGACATCCTTACATGCCAGCTCCCAGGACTGGGACCCAGACATTCTCTCCCTTGCCCTACTGGGACTTGTGAGTCTATACCCCTACCCTCCAGGACCCAAGAGTTCACATCCCTCAGGACCCACACCCCTGCAACCCAGGAGTCCACAACTTCCAGTCCCCAAGACCCAGGTGTCTACACCCCCAGACCTCATCCTCACCCCCTCAGATCTGGGGGTCCCTACACTCTCCGGAAGGCCTGGATGCCCTTGGGCACTCATGCCCCTTTAACCTAATTATGACACTCCCACCCCCAGTCTCGGTCATCACTCTGCCCCTCCCCCACCATCATCACCTGGCCAGGGGGTCTCCATGCTCCCCCCAGCAGGGGGCCAGATGTCTCCCCTGCAGCCCCTGGAAAGCCCATTCTTTATTTAGCAGTCTTAGTGTCTGCAGCTCCCATGCTTGTGCTTTACATGGCTTGATGTGCATAATCCTCTGAGAGCACTGTGAGGTAGGGACTATTATGCCCATTGAGGAGATGGGGAAACTGAGGCACGGGGCAGTTAAATCTCTTACCTGAAAGAGGTTGAGTGGGGATTTCAACCCAGGCCGTCTGGCTGGTGAGTCAGAGTTTGTCACCACTACCTTATTCTGCCTGTAAGTTCTAGGCCCTTAGCATCCCTGGGTTCCCAAAGTTCACCTTGGTGACCTAGCAGGTTAGCCCTCCCCTTCCCCCCAACACCCAGCACATCCTTGAGGATCCAGAAGTGCAGTTACCCACAGTGCTGTACAATGGCATCCAGTCACTGGCCCTGGAGCAGGGCTGCCCTGGACATTTGGGCACTGTAGTGTCACAGCTCAGGAGTACTGCCCAGGGCTCTCCCCTTCAGCTCTCCTGAACATCCCATGGAGGCCAGGCCCTTAAACTCTCAGCCCCCAGAGCACCTCACCCCCAGGTCCCCGCCAGGTTCCCCCACCCTCTGAGTGCTCCCGGAACCCCATGCTCCATCCACATGTCCACATCCCCTCTCCCTACCCCCCAGCTGGTGGCCGTGGTCATGGACGTCTTCACTGACCCAGACCTGCTTTCTGACTTGGTGGATGCTGCCACACGGCGCTGGGTACCTGTCTACCTGCTCCTGGACTGCCAGCAGCTGCCTGCCTTCCTAGCACTGGCCCAGCAGCTGGGGGTGAACCCCTGGGCCACCGAGGTAGGGGCTGGGCCAGAGGGATCTGTGAATTACCATTTGCCTGGTGCTGGGGACATCAGGGACAGACCCTTCTGTGGGGCACTGGGTCATCAGAATAGATGACAGCTGGGAGGGTCCCCTGAGATTTCATGCCCATGGCATTGGGGGAAGTAGGGGTGGATGTTCCCATGGGGTTCCAGGCCACTGAGTTAGGGGTATTCCCAAGAGACAAGACTGCTGAGGCTCGAGATCAATGGCTCTGGGGAAGCTGAGACACTTCTATGGAGTCATGGGCCACCCAGGTAGAACCAGCCTGGAGGGACTCCAAGTCCCTGGGTGTGCAAGGGTTCCCCTCCCCCACCAGAACCTGGACATCCGCACCGTGAGGGGCTGCAGTTTCCAGAGCCGCTGGCGGCGGCAGGTGAGCGGCAACGTGAGGGAGAAGTTTGTGCTGCTTGATGGTGACAGAGTCATCTCAGGGTCCTACAGGTATGGCCCCCCAGCCCCACACCTCCCAGCGTCTCATACCCACCTCTCCCTCAGTGTCCTCGGAAAACAGCTGGCACCCCCTTTCCGGGTCTCTCTTTCTTCATCTGTAAAATGGGTCCAAAACACCCTCCCTGGAGAGGAGGTACCCTGAGGCAGAGCAAGCCTGGAGCTGGAACCAGGCCTGCCTGGGTATCAGGGCTGGCCCTACGGCTGGCCTGTTCAGTGGCCTTGGGTAAGTCTTTCTCTCTTTGACCCTGTGTTTCTTCATCTGGAAAACTGGACCCATGGTTTGAGGGGTGGGGAGGGGGGTTTCAAAACCCGAAAGACCCGGGCCGGCCCCGTGGTGCACTCGGGAGAGTGCGGCACTGGGAGCGCAGTGGCGCTCCCGCCGTGAGTTCGGATCCTATATAGGGATGGCTGGTGTGCTCACTGGCTGAGCGTGGTGCAGATGGCACAAAGCCAAGGGTTGCGATCCCCTTACCGGTCACAAAAAAAAAAAAAAAACCAGAAAGACCTGGATTAGATTCCAAACTCTGCTTGGGTTAGTAACTCTACCTCTCTGAGGGCCAGTGTGTAAATGGCCCAGCCTACAGATGGGCTCATTTCCCTCCTCTCCTTCCTTTGGGGTCTGATCCTGAATCCTGGCTCAGCCACTTCTTAGCTCTTTGACTTTAGGCCAGTGCCTCCCCTGCTCTGAATCTGTTTCCTCATCTGGAAAGTAAAAATAATAGCAGCACATACCTCTTAGAGTCACAGCATGGTCAGGCAGGTGGGGGGAGGGGAGGTGTGGAATCTGGAGTCAGATGCCCTGGATTCAAATCCTAGTTCTGCCAGTTACTAGATGTGTGACTTTGGGCAATTTACTGCACCTCTCTGGGCCTCAGTTTCCCCATCTACAGAATGGGATGATATGGTTAGTGACACTAGAACAGGATTTCTCAACAGAAGTACCACCCACATTTTGCAGTGGATGATTCTTTGTTGTGGGAGGTTGTTGTGTGCATTGTAGGATCCCCACCCAGTAGATGTGGTAGCATCTCCCACCCCCAACCTGCCAATTATAACAACCAAAAAAGCCTACAAACATTGCCAGGTGCCCCCTGGGGTGCAGGAGTGCCCAGCTGAGCACCACGGCTCTGGAGCAGTAGTTTCCAACCTTGCATATGCGTCAGAATCACTTGGAGGGTTGTTAAGGTAGAGCTTTCTGGGCCCCACCTGCATTCATCCAGCCTGGGATGGGGCCCAGGAATATGCATTTCTAGTCAGTTCCCATTTGATCCTGCTGCTGCTAGTCCAGCAACCACACTTTGAGAACCACTAGCATTGAGCCTGGGATGTTTTGAAGCATGTCTACTTTCCCAGCTTCACTTGAGGATTCAGTGAGATAATGGTGCCTGGCATGTAACAGAAAAAGTGCGCCATAAACATCAGCTGTTATTTATTATTATGTGTATATATATTTTTTACCATATTTCATTGACTCTAAGTTACCACCAATGGAAAGAAGCAACCTGTTCAAACTGAAAAGATATGCATCTTAGAACCGATAAAAAACAGTAGTACAATCGGACCCACAGACCGTGCTCCCCCCACCTCTAAATCAGGCCTGGGGATGCTTCGCTGAGCACCCGGCTTTGGGTGGACAGCCCAGGAATGAAGGAAGCCAGGGCCACGAGAGGTTGTTTAGGGCCTCTGGGCATTTAATAGGGGAAGGGGTGGAGGCAGGGGGCACAGGGAGCAGTGGAGCTGGGAGACCAGTCCCAGGCCCTGCCCTCCCTGTTGGTCACAGCAAATGTCGGAGCAACAGCAAGCCCAGCTCCAGACTGGGGGTGAGCCCCATCGTTTGGCTGCCAGTGGAGCCATGGGCATTGTTACACAGGTTGCCAGAGCAGCAGTTGCTGACGAGGTTGTAGGTGATGCCCTTGTAGTTGACAGGCTGCTCACGGCCGCAGGAGGTGGAGTGTACACAGCCTTTGTTGATGATTGGACCGGTGCCTGGGGCTACCCCATGGCCCGTGTAACAGTCCTCGTCCTCACCACAGTGCATGAGGGTGCCAGGGCATTGCGTGGAGTCGGTCAGCTCACAGAAGATGCACTCCTTGACACCCAGTGTGGCTGGGGACAGAGCCATCACCAGAAGCAGCAGCCAGCTGAGAACCATGGTGGTCTGGCGGCGTTAACAGTTCCTGAGCCAGTCTGTGGGCTTCCTGAATCTCCCAGAACTGCAGAATGAATGACCTCCTGGAGCTCGTTGCACCCACAAGACTTTTGCCCCCTTGTTCTGGCCTCCCAGGGTCAGCACTCAGAGTGTCCTCAGTTCCCAACACTCTGCATCCCTCTCCCGAGCTCTCGAGTCCTTGGGATGGACAGGAGCCAGCAGCCACTGCTCGATGAGCCTTTGTGAAGCGGAATGGCGTGACCTCACAGATCCCTCAGAGTTCCCACTGGCTGCTCTGAGGGTGGGGTCAGAGGTGGGAGGAGGGATGTCACAATCTGAGGGGCACCCTGGCCCACCAACCTGCCAGGGAGCAAGAGGACTCTGCCGCCCTGCCAAGGTAAAGATGCTCCGGACAACACTCACAGTGCTGGCCGCTGACTCACCCACTGTTGTGTGCTGTACTTGCTGAGGTCTGGACCTCAGCCTCACACTTCCCATGGTGACCACGTTTTCCAGATGGGCAAATGGAGGCTCGGGAAGGGAAAATGACACATCTGAGGTCCCCCAGAGCCAGGTTGGGAGAGAAGAGGGCATTTATTGAGCACTTGATGTGTGCCAAGATCTGTGCCAGATGCTTTAAATAACGACCATGTTGATAACAGGAATGGTTAAGGCATTGCCTACCGCAGCTTGCAGGCTGTTAATGGTGGCCAGATGCAGGGCGCTGGACCCATGTTCTGCCGTTTGAATCTTCCTGTGTTTCAGCTCCATATTACAGATGAGCAAACTAAGGCACTGAGCAGGAATGTCCAGAGTCTGGCACACAGCAAGTGCTTAGTCAATGGTAGTGATTACAGGAAGCGGCTGAGTCTTAAAACAGTCCCTGAGGGGATCAGGAAACTAACCTTGTCTCTTTCCAGAGGAGAAATTGAGGTACTGAGGCATCGCCCGGTGGGGACAGGGCAGAGCCCAGGTCTAAACTCCAGTCTGATTCTGGATGATAATATGGGTGTCTTAACTCATGTTGTGCTTACATCAGTCCTCTGGGGTGGGCACTTAGCTTGTTCCCATTCTAAAGAGGGGGAAGCTGAGGCTGGAGAGGTCGTGGGATTTGCCAGTGGTCACATGGTCTACACCCTGGGACCTGACTAGGGACTAGGAATGAGGGCCAGGCTGGACCTCTGGAGCTGACTCCCCAAATCGTGCCTCCCAGCTTCACGTGGAGCGACGCGCGCCTGCACCGTGGTCTGGTGACACTACTGACGGGTGAAATCGCTGACGCCTTCAGCCGCGAGTTCCGGACATTGTACGCAGCCTCCTGGCCCCTCCCACCTGCGCCCACCCAGGGCCCCTTTGTCAGCATCTTGGGGAGCCTGCAGACGGCCCACAGCCCACACCACGTGGCCTACCGCTGCTCTGTGGCCCCTGCGTCACCACTGCCACCTGACAGCTCCCTGGCCCACCGCCTGGCTGCTTGCCACATCTTCGAGGGGGAAAGGAAGGAGTCTCCTGCCACCACCCCAGGGCCAGCACTCAGTGACATCCTAAGGAGTGTACAGCGTGCACAGACCCCCAGTGCCTCTCCAGCCCGGCCCAGCCGCTCCTTGTGGGACCTGAGCCGCTTGTCCCAGCTGTCCGGCTCCAGTGATGGTGACAACGAGGTGAGACCTCCTTGAGGCCCAGAAAGAAAAAGGCACTTGCCCGTGGTCGTGCAGCCAGACCCCGGGGTCCCTGCTGCAGCCACAAGGACAGGAAGTGTTTCCTGAGGGCCTGCTGCCACCCAGCCGCGGAAGCGCAGGAGCGAAGCTGCCCACCTAAGCTCACACCTGCGTCGTCCGTTTCCTGCTGGGCAGGTGGCGGGGTGGAGAACCCAAGAGCCCTGGGCACAGACCCTGACATGATGCACGGCCGTGAGAGCCAGGGCGGGGACTTGCCTTCTCTAAACCAAGTTCTAAACCAAGTGTCCTCATCTAGGAAGTGGCTGAGCAACTGCACTCATTCTCAGTTTGGTCGGGAGGAGTCTGAGGAAAAATGACATAGAATAATAATAACAACAAGTTCCCAAGACAGAACTTATTTTTATTAATTTCATAATATCCTCATCCCAGGCCAGCAAGGGCATGCTCTTATCATGAGCTCATTTTTATGAGTGGGAAAGAGGAGGTTCAGAGAGGTAAGTAACTAGCCCAAGGTTGAAACGACAGTCTTTTGTAGGCACATTGCCACATGCCAGGCCCCACACCAAGCTCTTTCACAGAGGTGGCTCAATTCGACCTTTGCCACAACCCTATGAGGTGGATGTGGTCACAGCTCTCCATCCACTCATTTCACAGGTGGGGAAAGTGAGGCCCCAGAGAAGGATTGGAACTCATCCCTGGCTGCCTCCCAAATGGGGCTTTTAAATGCTTTGCTTGCTGGGCTCACAGGGGTGTTGGGGACAGGGAGGGGATTAGGGGAGGTCAGAGGGTCTTCCTACCCTCATCCCCCCAGCTTCTTAGACATGAAGTTTCAACAGAGCCTGTTCCAACTCACTGGGGGACCCTGGGCAGGTGTTGTTTTCTCTCTGAGCCTCAGTTTCTTCAGCTGTAGAGGGTACTGCTGAGAGGATGAGATGAGAGCCACGGAGGGGCAACAGGTAGACTTGCCCAGGATGCAGGCAGACCTGGGGTGTGGGTCTTCTGTGAGCTGTGCCCCCTCTCAACCTCAGTTTCCCCATCTGCTGAGTGGGAGCTAGAGGCCTCTCCCAAGGGTAAGGGACAAATGTCCTGGGAATCGCCTCCCTCAGCTTCAAGTCCCAGCTTCAAGAGGAGGAGGGGGACAGGCAGGGCAAGGTCCTCACCTCCACCTGGTCCTGAGCCACCCTCACCCAGTATCACCTCCCTTGGCAAATATTTACTCCCCCCAGGCAGCTGCCAGCTGCTTCCTGTTCCTCCCCAGCCACAAAGCTGCAGGTGGGCACATAGCTCCCCACCCCCTCTGTAGGTTTGGGGGTCCCAGGCCTCTCCTCTCACTTCCCTCCTGGTTCTGGAAGCTCAGAGCCTTCTCACCTCCCTCTCTTTCTCTCCACAGCTCAAGAAGTCCTGGGGCTCCAAGGATACCCCAGCCAAGGCCCTGATGAGGCAGCGGGGCACTGGAGGGGGACCCTGGGGTGAGATGGACTCCCGTCCGCTGGCCTGGTCCCAGCCCTGGGGTGGCCCCCTGCCCCTGATCCCTGCCCGCCGCCTCCGCTATCTGTCCCCAACCCACAGGAGGTTTGGAAAAGATGCTGTATCCAAACTCCCGGAACCCAGAGGTGTCTGGCAGCCAGACTGGGCCTCCCGGGCAGGACTTGGGGGTCGACCCTGACAGGAGTGCAAGCCTGTTTCACCCAGACCACCCAAGGAGAGGTGGACAATGCGGTGTCAGCCTAGAGCCCCCTGCCTAGATGTTTTGCCTTGGACCAGGCCCCTGGTCTCAGTGTCTGGGAAGCGGAAGGGATTTCTCTCACTTGTTCTAGAACTTGGGCAAGCCCAGTACCTGCTCTAGACCTGTGTCACAGTCTAGAAAACGGGCTGAAAGTTGCCACTCACTGCACACCCTAGAGCAGCATACCTCCTGTCCGGGCCTGGTCAAGACTTCCCTGATCAGAGGCCTGGCCGAGTGGCCCCCATGCTGGAATCGTGTCAGCGGAAGAAGGGGACTGCCTGGAACAGAAAGGGAAGCTTCCCACGCCCAGCATGCTCAGGAGCTGTGGGTAAAGTGAGTCAAAGAGAAGAGAGAGCCCAGTCTGGGGACCACGGAGGGGAGCAAAGCTGAATAATGAGGGACTGGAAAGTCGAGGGGACACAGCTGCTGGGGGAGAGGGACTGGGAAGGCGTGGGACTGTTTTCTGGGCCCTAAGGGGTGGGTTGGCTGGGGATCCCATTTGCTTCTGCCCAGAATAAAACTGCTTCATACCAAAAACTTGTATTTCCACAGCCTGGCCCATAACCCAAAAATCCAGCCCCCAGCTCCCTCCTCCCTCAGACCCAGGAGTCCAAGCCACGGCCCCTCACCCAGGGAAGCCAGCGTCCCAGTGCTGGGTTCCCTGCAGCACCTTTGACTCCTGGCAGGCTTCTGAGCCACAGACCCCATTTGTGTGCCATATGGGGAAGAGGAACCCTCCTTCCCAAGGTTCTGGGCACCTGGTGCGGGGACCCCGCTCCAGCCTCTGTGCCCCACTGCAGCACCCCGTCTACCCACCCGAGTCATGCCACCTCCACAGCGCATCAAGCAGCCTGGGCAGGAGCGATGTGTTTATTCTCAGGGTCATGGGTTGGGGGGCTCTGAGGCCTGGCTGGGGCTGGGGCTGGGCTCGGGGCTAGGATTAGGGTCTGGGCTGGCATCTCCTGGGGCCTCATCCCAGGGGAAGGTTGGCAGCCCCTGCATCTGCTCGTGGTAGACACGATCGAAGGCTTCGCTCTGCGCCACCGTGAAGTGGTTCTTCCAGTCACCACACACTCCTGAAGGGGAGAAGGGACCGCAGGGTGAGGAGCTGCTCCGGAGCAGTGTCCCCCGACCCCCAACAGCCCAGCATCCTCTTTCCCACCTCACGCCTTTGCCAGAAACACCATTCTCCCCGCGCCCTTCCTCCATCTCCACTTCGCCCCCTTTGCCTCCTAGGATGGCTGACGCTTGCACTGTCCACCAGTTGCCTGGCCAGACCCCTGGACGCCGTGCTACCTCCTCCCTCCCCTGGCTGCCCTGCCCTACTGCCTCCTCCAGCAGACCTCTTGCCAGTTCTCCCCTTTACCCCCTGATCCCTTAAATCTCTCTGCCCAGAACATCTGCCTCCCACTCAGCCTTCCTGCACACCTTTTATAGCCCCTATGTCACCTCCGCTGGGTCCTGTTCCTAACCTCCCCTGCTGGAACAGGGCTTCCTTGCCCCAGTGCTCTGACAATGTCCTGCACTACATTATTGCTCTGACATTGAATGAACCCCTTCCCTGCAGGCACTTGGTGCCAAGCAGTGTGCTGAGAGCTTGTCACCGATTCGCTGATTAGCTGGTTAACCCTCACAGCAAGAAAGCTAGCTCGAAGCTGTGTGCCCTGGGCAAGCACTGGGATCCCTCTGAACCTCAGTTTTCTCATCTGGTCACGGGCAATCATTCAGGCACCACTCCTTACCTGGGATCCTGGGGCCAATGTAATTCAGACTGCAGCATTTTGAATTTTAGCAAGCATATGTGCCACATGTACCACAACACCCCTAGTGAGGTCTTGGGGGGCTCCCTGTGATGGGCTGAGCATTGACCTCCTAAATATGTCCACATCCTAATCCTTGGAATGTATGAATATGTGACCTTACATAGAAAAAGGGACTTTGCAGATGTATGTACGTTCAAGATCTTGAGATGGGAAGATGACCCTGGATTATCTGGGTGGGCCCAATGTCATCACAGGGGTCCTTATAAGAGGGAGGCAGGAGGGTCAGAGTCAGGTTGGAAGACAGTTTGCTGCTGGTGGTGAAGATGGAGGAAGGGGCCATGAAAAAGGAGTGCGGGTGGGTCAAAAGCCACCTGAAAGCTGCAAAGCAGGGAAACAGATTCTCCCCTCGGGCCTCCAGAAGGAACGTGGCCTTTCCCACACTTTGGTTTTAGCCCAATGAGACTAAATTCAGACTTCTGACTTCCAGACATGTGAGCGAATAAATGTGTGTTGTTTTGAGTTATGAAGTTTGTGTATTGTTACAGCAGGAGTAGGATACAAATACACTCCCACCCCTACCGCATAATCCAACGCGTGAATGTTTCTGCAGTGAACATTAACATGAAAGAGAACGAGTGAAGACATTAAATAGCCCCGTGGCAGTTCAGATATGGCTTTGGTGGTACTTGGGGATGTTTGTTGCTCTTGGGAGCTCTCTGCGTGGGAGTGGAAGGCCTCAGATGGCAGGCACGTCGGCAGCACCTGCCATGTGCCAGGCTGGTGCTAAGCCGTGTACACGGTGACCTGGTGCACCCCCATGGTACAGCTGGGAAAGTCGCCCAAGTCAACAGCCAGGCAGTGGCCTAGGAGCCCCCGTGTCCCCACACCTTTCCGGAGGAAGGCCCCCTGGCGGTGGTCCAGCAGGCTGGGGGGCAGCAGCGTGTAGTTGGACATGCTGTTGGCCTTCATGGCGCCGAAGGCTGAGTGTGCCACCACGGAGCCCAGTGCCTCCTCACCCAACGGCCGGCCCAGGAACTCGCAGACACGTTGCACGGAGCCATGAAGGTCCTGGGGTCAGGGGAGAGGGGTCAGTGGAAGGAGGGCGCCCCGGCCAAGGAAGGAGCACGTGAATCGGAGTCTGAGTCCTAACTCTGGGCTGCCTGGGTGCCTCAGTTTCCCCACCTCCAAGCCTAGGCACCGGGCTATAGCCTCTAATAATTTTTGCAATTTTAGTTTTTGGAGGGTTCTGTGGGTGGGAGGGAGGGGGTGAGACTCAGGCAGGGGTCACAGCAAGGGCCAGGGGTCAGTTCAGCACCTTATCCAGAATCACCCTCTTCAGGTTAGAAACAGGCATTGGCTGGTCCGTGCCTCAGACCAGCTCCTCCTCTGGGTCCCCATCTCAGGACAGCCCCATCATTCGCCCAGTCACAGGGCCAGACTCTCAGGTCTGGCCTCATCCTTGTCCCCCTTACTCGCATCCCTCCCGCCCTCGACTGTTTTGCCACATCCCCTCCTCTGTGTCCACATAGCCCTGGCACTGGCGCAGGCCTTGTCCTCCCGCTCCTGGACCCTCGTCCCAGCCTCCTCTCCAGCATCCCTGCCTCCAGTCTCCTTGCCCCTCCAGCTCATCTCCCGCACCCACTCTGTCCCTGCTCCTCCCTGGCTCCCAGCTGTCCTCTGGCTCCCCAGTGCTCCGGGACAGAGTTCTGGCCCCCAGGCCTGGCTTTCAAGGACAGGCGTGATCTGGTCTCGGCTTTTCCCAATGCCTCGCCCACCCTTTCCTTCCAGAGCATCCATTCCCTGCACATCCCTCTCTCAAGGCCTTGGCATGGGGCTGCCAGAAATGCCCTGTGCCACTGATGTAGTTCAAATATCTTCCTTATGATAGTGATGGTTCAAGTCCCTGTAGATTGAGCAACTGCTGTATACCATGCTCTGGTCCAAGCCCCTCATATACACTTGTGCCTAGCCTGCATCAGCTTTACAAGAGAAGTGTCATTATCCCAATTGGTAAGTGGAGGCCCAGAGAGGGGAAGACACTTGTCCAAGGCCAAACAGCCAGGGAGGAGCTCAGACTCAGGTCTCTGAAGCTCACAGTCTTCTCCTCTAACCCGCTGCCTTCTCTGATATGCAGTGCCTGACAGAGTCAGCCCTCTGGTCAGCGCCACCAGCTCCACAGTCCCAATTTTCCAGGTCATTCCTGGTTTCATAACTCTCCATCCCTTTATCCTCTTGAACCACTGACATGTCCCAGAAATTCTAACGTGGGTGGTGCCTCCCACCCAAGGGCAGCCCAGAAGCTCTGGCAGGCTATGTGGCCCAGTTTTTGTTTGGAGAATAAAGCTTGATGGGAAAGAGGGGGAAGGGTAATGCTGAAACCTTTTCAGGATCTTCCCATCAAAAGAGATTCCCTGGGTGGAAAAAAGTAACCATGGGGTCGCAGCGAAGAGCTGTGTGCCTTGGGCATATGATCACCCCTCTCAAGTTATAACCTCCCAGTTTCCTCCTCTATAAAATAGGGGCAATGACAACACTGGGGTGAAGCATATAAAGTTACCATTTCTGCAGATCAAAATTGGCATTTCATGTGGTTCAATCCTTTTTTTTCTTTTGGTGGCTCACCGGTAAGGGGATCTCAACCCTTGACTTGGTGTTGTCAGCACCACGCTCAGCCAGTGAGCGAACCGGCCATCCCTATGTGGGATCCGAACCCGGGGCCTTGGTGTTATCAGCACCGCACTCTCCCGAGTGAGCCACAGGCCGGCCCAACACCATGCTCTTACCAACTGAGCAACCAGCCAGCCCGCGGTTCAGTCTTACACGTACCTCACCCGTCCATGCTTTGTGAGGATTAGGTGAGATATCCACGTTCAGCACTTGGTGCTTGGCATTTGGCAGCAAATGGCAGACGTTTGCTGTTATTGTTGTTACTAATCAGATAGGCCCTTGCTCAGACCCTAATCACCCTTGCTCTACACACGACGCTAACACTTTGGTGCCCCTTATCAGGTGGTTATAACTGTGCTCTTCACAATGCCATGAGTTGTTTTTTTCACCCATTTTAAGGATGAGACTTCTGGGGCTCTGAGAGGTTTTAAGGGAGGTTTTACTGCTTTGTTGGACCTCAAAGTCCAGACTCTTTCCACTAGAAAAAGTACTGGCAGAAAGAAGAATACAAAAAATACAGGAAGCACACATGAGAAGGTGACGTGTCTGGGGCCACTGGTGAAGGGGCACATAGTGGAAGCCTCCATGGCTCCCTCTAGGAACAGATTTTAGTTAAGAACCTAGAATGGTTGGGCATGTTGACTGTGAGCTGTTCTATCTAGAAGTGCAGGCAAAGCCACAGACATTCTGGCATGGCCCCTACCTCCAGGGAGCCTTCCCTGACTGCCCCAGCCAAAAGGAGTCTCTCTTTCCCGTGTGCCTGCCCCAGGAACGTTTGATGGGGCCCAGCTAGGATCCTAGGCTAACTCCAAAGGCTGTTTCCTTCCACAGTTTCCCTCTGCTTTTCAGGTCAGGACTATCATGGAAGCTCATTTCCCATGTGTCAGTTTCACATGATCTCATTTATCCTATGAACTGCCCTGTTCAAAGCCCACCCATGGCTCTCATCTACTCAGAGAAAAGCCCAAGTCCTCACAATGGCACCGTTTCTTCTCTACCCTCATCTCCCACCTCACCCAGCTCTGGCAACATTGGTCTCTTTGCTCTCCTGGGAACACATCAAGGAAAAAAGCCACCCCACGGCCTTTGCACTGGCTGTTTCCTCTGCCTGGGACACTTTTCCCCAGACAGCCTCATGGCTCCCTTCTGCTTCTCCTTTGGCTCTTTGCTCAAGCATTACCTCTTCCTTGGGGCCTCCCCTGAACCCCGATTTTATTTTTTTGGTGGCTGACCGGTACAGGGATTGAACGCTGGACCTTGGTGTTATCAGCACCACGCTCTAACCAGTTGAGCTAACTGGCCAGCTCCTGACCACCCTATTTTAAATAGCACCACACACATTCCTTATCTTCCTTCCCTGCTTGCATTTTCTCCTTGGCTCTTCTCACCAGGTGATCTCCTATATATTTTATTTATTTGTCCGAATTCTGTCTCCCACTCATGCGCTCAGGGATTCTGTCTGATCTGTTCGCTGCATGTCCCCAGGGCACAGGGGAAGGGAAGCGGGTGGGGCATGAAGCGAAATAAGGGGGACATTGGGCTGGGGCGGGGGTGGGGACTCACCTGATGCAGCTCCTCGTAGGTGATGAATAGGAAGTTCTCTTTGCCCTGCATCCGAATCCAGCCCTTAATGTGGTCGAACCAGGAGCCAAACTGCACTGCGGGCAGAGGGCAGGGGGGGGTGAGGGCGGGCAGCAGGGCCAACCCCGCTGCGACTCAGTGGGGTCTAACACCTTGGGCGTCCCTCATCCCTCTGTCCTTCTATCCAGTCCAGTGGCAGCCTGCACCCTCCCCTTCCCCAACCACATACATTTAGATTCCCCTCCAAAGTTGGGGTCTCTGACAGGAGCAGAGAAAGGGACACACGGCCAAGCATCTGATGCCTTGTGTCCCTCTGTTTCCAACTCTCTTTCTGCATTTATTTCTGTATCTGTCTCTTTTTGTTCCCCCCCCCTCATTCTCTCCCCCCGGTTTCCTTTCCTGTTTCTTGCTCACTCTGTATCCCTTAGTCTATTTCTCCTCGTCTCATTTTCCTGCAGTTTCTCTCTGGCTCCAGCTCTCCAGCTCTGCCTCTGTCTCTCTCTGTCTGTCTCTCCTGGTTGCCTTCTCTCTGTCTCCATCACGCTCTATAACACTCTGTATCTTTGCTTTTCTCTCTCCTTCTGTCCTTCTACCCGTCTGGGTCCTCTGGGGGCTCTCTTTCCGTCTGGGCTTGGGTAGCCCCCCACCCCTCCCACCTCAGTCTGTCCTAGTCCTCACCTTCGCCCTTGAGGAAGTCCCGCAGGAACTGGTTGGGCGTGCCAGGGTCCTTCAACTGTCCAGCGATCTTGGAGTAATGATACAGGGAGACCACCACGTCGCGGGGGTTCCGGCCCAGGTAGATCACCTGTGTGCAGATGTTGCGGAAGGGGAGAAGGCGTCAGATGCAGGCAGAACCGGCCCCTGAGGCCACCTGCCTTGTGCCCCCCCCTTTTCTGACCCTGCAGAGGGAAGGACTCAGGGCAGACTTCTCAGGGGACTTCCCAGCTAATGGTAGCTCATCTCAGCTCACCTCATCGCATAGTACACAGAGAGGTTCTCCAACCACACTCTAGAGGAGGGAAAGATTGTTTCTGAGCCAGATGGAGGGACAGTTTGGCTTTGGGAAATAAAGAGTGGAGAAGAAAGCATGGGGCTCAGGATGGGGAAGACCAGGGTGAGACGTGCGGACCAGGAGGGAAGAGAAGCCAGCCTCCCCTTTCCAGCCCCACAGCCGAGGCCCCAGCCTCCACCTTGACCTCCCAACCTCCACATGGCCCTGGAGGGTCTTTCAACACCTGGAGCTGACTCTGTCCTCCTTGCTCACAACCCCCCTGTGGCTCTCCAGTACCCAGGACAGAGAATTCCTGTCCCCAGGCCTGGGCTTCAGGCCCTGGTTACCCAGCTGCAATGTCTGCCAGCTTCACATCCCACAACCAGCTCCTCCCTACACTCCAGCGCCGTCACACAGGATCCTCCCTGGCCACCATCTCCTCCTCCAAAGGCCCAGTGTTAACAACCGCTCCCAACCTCCTCCAAGTCTCCCAGGAACTCCCGTGCTGGGACCCACTGATCCCTGAGCCACCTCCACTGGCACGCACACCGTCCTTGCCCTCGCAAATCTGGCTACAGCCTTGTCTCCACTCACAGGGTTGGGGGCTCCTTGAGGTCAGGGCAGGGTCTTACTCATCCCCAGAGACTTAGCTCAGAGCCCCCCACACTGGAGGCTCTGGAAATTGAGGGAGTTACAAAAGCATAAAGGAGGGAGGGTGGGCAGGTGGTGAGAAAGAACACCCAAGGGGCTAAAGGGAAATTGCAACATGTCAAAGACACAGACAGATGTGGCTTCTGATGCCAGCCTCACAATGTGGGTGCATCCCAGGGCTCCAACCTGATCCCTGTGCAGTAGAGGATTCACTTTGCCTAAAGAAAGGTCTGGTCCTTGCCCCCAGCTGCTGGGAGGGAACATTTAAGCCCTTGGCATTTCCTGCTGTTAAGAGAATATCTTTGTTTACTTGGGACCTGGGGCCTTGGGCCATCTGTATAGCCTATGCTAATAATGTGACTTATATTGGGGGCCTTCAGCCACATGATATGAGCTTGACGTCTGGAGGGGCTGGAGACCAAGGTCAGCCACACAAGTGGCAAGCCATGTCTATGTGACCCAACAATAATCCCGGACACCAAGGCTCAGGTGGGCTTCCCAATTGGCAACACTGTGTGAGTGTTGTCACACATCACTGTTAGGGGAAATAAGCCTTGTTTGTGCAACTCCACTGGAGAGGACAACTGGAGGCTCACTCCTGCTCTCTCCTGGACATGTCCCATGCACCTCTTCCCTTGGCACCTCTTCCCTTGGCTGAGTTTCGTTTGTATCCCTCCACTGAACAAACTGGAACTGTGAGTGTAACAGTTTTGCTGAACTCTGTGAGTCCTTCTAGTGAGTCACTGAGCCTAACGCTGGTCGGAGGGACCTCCCGATCACGGTCCAATCTCTGCTGTATCTACAGCCACTTCCTCGGCAGTTCCATCCAGTCCCCTGGCTGTAATTAATTACAGAATATACACGCCACTGGATTGCAAATAGATGTGTCAGGTTAGGTCTCTCCCTCCAAATCCAGATCCGTGTCTCTCAGTGCCCACTGACAACCTCCACCTGGACATCTGATGGGCCACAGTACACACCCTTCTTCCTCCCAACCCTGCTCCCATCGCAGTGGGTGGCACCTGATCCTGACAGTTGCTGCTGCCAAAACCTTGAAGTCACCCTCGAGTCATCTGTTTCTCTCACACCCACATCCAATCTGTCAGCAAATCCTCTCGGTTAAAATATACTCCAAACCCGGTCCCTTCCCTTCACCCGATGGCCACCACTCTGGTCCATCCAGCACTGTCACTTCCCACCTGGACTATCGCCATCTCTTCACCAGCTGCCCTGCTCCTGCCCTCGTCCCGACAGTCTGTCCCCCATCTGGCAGCCAGAGGGCGCCTGGGAGGCCTGAGCCGGCTCCTGTCCCTGCTCGGCTGGGAGTCCTCCCACAGCTCCCTTCTCACTGCGTGAAAGCAAAGGCCTCGCTGCAGCCCACACGGCCTTGCACATTTGGCTCCAGACACAGGCCTCCTTGCTGCTCTTCAGAGACACCACACCCACCGCAGGACCTTTGCGCCTGCTCTTCCCCCGTTACCCCCGTGGCTCGCTCCCTCATCTCCAAGGTCTTTACTCAGACGGCACCTTCCCACTGGGGCCTCCCGTGACCACCCTATTGATACTTGCAGCCCCTCACCCCCTAACCCTATCTCCATCCCTCTCCTCCCTCCAGATGTAAATTTATCCCATCAGACACACTAAATTTTTTTTGTTATTTCATCTATTGTCTTCCTGTTCCCCTTTAGAATGTGGGCTCACAAGGGCAGGCATTTCTGTGTACATGTTCACTACGTGCTAGATCAGAGCCAGGCACAGAGCAGGTGTTCAATAAACAGGTGCTGGATTAATCAGTTATGCTTCCTCTCTCTGCCACCCACCCACACCCTGCCCCATACGCACATCCCGCCTCCCACCTTGGCCTTGGAGTTGAAGAAGGCCTTAGTGAAGATCTGGATGGGGAGGTGGGAGCTCATGAGGCGGGGATTGGACTGGTCTGGGAGGCTGAAGGCACCCATGATGGTCTCACACCAGGGTGCCCGCTCCCAGATGGGCACTGAGTGGATCCAGGAGGGATCTCCGTCCTTCAGGATTAAGCTGACGATCTCGATCATCCAATTGGTTCCTGTTGGGGAGAAATCAGGCAGGTTAATTGGGGGTGGGAAGGAGTGAAGAGAGGTGATATAACTAAATTAATAATGACGGTTATTACTGAGCGATTTGCCACATACTTTACATATTTTATTGCACTGATTCCTCACAACCAGTAGAAAAAGCAGGGTTGATTAGCCTCATTTTCAGAGCAAGAAACTGAGTCCCAAAGAAACAAAGTTGCAGGGCCGGGGCCCGTAGCTCGCTCGGGAGAGTGCGGTGCTGATAACACCAAGGCCACGGGTTCGGATCCCATATAGGGATGGCCGGTTGCTCACTTGGGAGAGCCTGGTGCTGACAACACCAAGTCAAGGGATAAGATCCCCTTACCGGTCATCTTTTGTGAAAGAAAAAAAAAAAAAAAAAGAGGAAACAAAGCTGCTCCTCCAAGGTGGCAAAGGTAGGAAGTGGCTAGTTGCCCCCCAGCCCCATTTGATTGTCTTGCTGGGAATATGGCAGGACTATATTTTCTCTTTCCCCTGTAGCTACATGTGGGGCCAGGTGACTGAGTCTGGCCAAGGAAGTGTAGGTGGAAGCAATGTGCCCCTATTTCCAGGCCTGGTCCGTTAACACATCCCATGTGACTCACCAGTCCCTCTCTGCTGACTGCAGAGACTCCAGCAGAGATTCTGGGGCTCAGCAGAGCCATAGGATGGATGAAACCGGATGTGTGGGACAGCATGGATTTCCCCCTCTTCCCTACACCCATCCTGGACTGACTGGAGTTTACAGGAACAAGACATAAACTACTGGGTTCTGCCACTGAAATTCTGAGGCTAACATAATAGAGCAGCTGGGACTGCTTTTTTTTTTTTTTTTTTTGGTGGCTGGCCAGTACAGGGATCCAAACCTTTTACCTTGGTTATAACACTGCACTCTAAGCAACTGAGCAACCAGCCAGCCCCTTCAGCATTACTTTAATACATGGAGGAAGCTGCAATTGAATCCAGGTGTCTGGACATAAAACCTCAGCTCTTTTCACTGCCTAGCCCCTTCATTTCTGTGGGGAGCCATAATGTCACATAATGGGAAGGGATCTCATCGATCACCCAGTTCATGGGTTTAAATTCCAGGAGACCACAGGGAGTTCTGATGAAAAATAATAATAATGTTCACAATATACTTTTTTTTTTTTTTTAAAGATGACCGGTAAGGGGATCCTAACCCTTGACTTGGTGTTGTCAGCACCACGCTCACCCAGTGAGCGAACCGGCCATCCCTATATGGGATCCGAACCCGTGGCCTTGGTGTTATCAGCACCGCACTCTCCCGAGCGAGCCACGGGCCGGCCCCTCAATATACTATTAATAGTATTCCATGGCTGGCCAGTTAGCTCATTTGGTGCTGATAACACCGAGGTCAGGAGTCCAGATCCCCAAACTGGCCAGCTGCCAAAAGCAAAAAAAAAAAAAAACAAAAAAGTAGCAAAAACAGTATTGCATTGGATAGTATTCTAATAACACCTGGTGCCGGTTATCAACTGATGGCTTCGCAGTTCCAAATCCACTTTTCTTTGCCTCGTTTTGTGATTTCATAGCTGGGCTGTGTAAACGTTTTTGCTTTGCCAGCTGGCTCAATGTCAAGCTCTGTCAGTGGAGGGCACTGGAGGAACACTGAACGAGGACAGGGTTTCTCTTCATGGTTCTCTCGGGCTCCTCTCAGCCGGCTCTTGTGATGAACAGTGGCCAGCCCTGCAGTGGACACCCAGTGACACTTGTCCTCCCCACCACCGTCCCCAGCAAATTCTAGCTGCACCAGCCCTGCAGGCAGCTGCCTGCTTGTGGACCCCAGCGTATGGCCCCTTGGTGAACCTGTCAACCATCCCGTGGGCTACAGCCACACCCTGTCCAGTAATCTTGGTTGGGTGTGGGACAGGGGAGTCCCTCTTCCAAACTTATTTCTTCCTTGGGGCTTCTGCTTCAGCCCTAGAGGAAGTGGCTGCTCCCTTATCGGCTGTTCCTATGTTCTTTGGCGTTCTCCTTACACCTTAGTAACAGTTTTAAGCACTGTTACTAGTTAATAATTTTTTGTGTGTATGTGTTAAAATATCCATAGCATAACGTTTACCATTTTAACCATTTTACGTGCACAGCTCAGCGGCATTAAGCACGTTCAGCCGTCACCACCGTCCACCTCCAGCACTTCTTCATCTTTCCAACCTGAAACTGTGAACACTAATCCCCATTTCCCGCCTCCCCCAACCCCTAGGAACCACCGTTCTACTTTCTTTTATTTATTTTTTTTATTTTTTATTTTTTTTTTAAAAAAGATGACCGGTAAGGGGATCTTAACCCTTGACTTGGTGTTGTCAGCACCACGCTCAGCCAGTGAGCGAACCGGCCATCCCTATATGGGATCCGAACCCGGGGCCTTGGTGTTATCAGCACCGCACTCTCCCGAGTGAGCCACGGGCTGGCCCCTACTTTCTTTTATGTCTGGCTTATTTCACTTCGCATCATGCCTTCAAAGTGCATCCATGTTGTAGCATATATCAGAATTGTCTTCCTTTTTAAGGCTGAATAATATACCATTGTATGAATATGGCATAATTTGTTTACCCATTCATTCGTCAATGGACATTTAGGGGGTTTCTATTTTTCTGCCATAGTGAAAACTGCGGCTATGAACACTGGTGCACAAATATCTGTTCGAGTCCCTGCCTTCAGTTCTTTCGGGTGTATACCCAGAAGTGGAATTGCTGGGTTTTACGGCAATTCTATGTTTAATTCTTTGAGAAACCGCCGGACTGTTCTCCACGGCGGCTGCACCATTCTGCACTCCCCCCACCAGTGCACAAGAGCTCCAGTTTCTCCACGTCCTTGCCAACGCTTGTTACTTTCTAAATAATAGCCGCCCTAATGGGTGTGAATATCTTTTATATTAAGCTTTTCCTGTCCAAATTCCTGTGTGGTTTCACTCTCCTGTCTGGACCTGACTGATACGCACCCCCATAAGGTGATTTAGCAGAGAGGCCAAGTGTCTTCATGATCCATTTTACCCTCTTCACTTAGTATAAGGACCCTTAGGGTTTAGCTGGGCACACTGGCATCTGGCTAGAGACTACATCCCCCAGAATCCTTCGCAGCCAAGTGAGATCGTGTGACTAAGAGACGTGAGTGAAAGTAAATGCACCTTCTGGGTCATGCTTTTAGAAAGAGCTACTTGCCCTCCACTCTTTTTTCCCTCTTTTCTGCTGGCAGGATGATGGAGGTGGTGTTGATAATAACCCTAGAAGCCAGCAACCTAGAGGGACATGCATCCCTCCATGACTGCTTGAAACCAAGCCACCTGCCTCCCTGCATGGCTCACCTACCTGAGTGAGGACTGTTATTGGGGAGAAACATAAGCTTATTTCTTGGGGTCTTTTTGTTATAACAGCTTAATTTATATCCAAACTACTACAAGTAAGACCTCTTATCACCCTAGAGGAAACGAAGGAAATCAGAGATGAGGAAATCGAGGGCTTGGAGACATTCTAGTGCTTTCCCATGTTTCCTAAGGGGGCTGCAAGGATTTGAACCCAGGTAGAAATAACCAAGGAGACAAGTGCTTCACCATGGAATACTGCCTTGATGACCTTTAAGCATCACGAAAGATCCAAGCCTACATTAATATCCCCAACAATCATAGTCCACTCCATTAAAGCTACAATCAGAATGATGAGATATGAATCCAAAGAGATCTCAAATTAAGAAGTCAACTAGAGCCGGATGGTTTAGTTCAGGTGGTTAGAGTGTTGTGCAGATAACATCAAAGTCCACGGTTTGATCCCTGTACCCCCCAGCAGCCAAAAAAAGTCAACTAGAAAAGAAAAATACATTTGATTATATGATTTTAAAAATATGCATGGAAAAAACATTATGAGCAAAGTAAAAAAGACAAATGACCATCTGCGTAAATATATTTATAATTCATAACACACACAAGGCATTAAGTTCACTAACATAAAAAGCTCCTATAAATCATGAAAGACCAACAATTCAATAAGGGGGAAAAAAAAGACTAGGAATAAGAACAGACAGATCATAAGATATGAAATATAAGTAGTTCTCTAAAAATCTAAAAATATGCTCAACTTCATTAATAACAATAGAAATGTAAATTAAAACAACACTGAAGTTCAATTTTTCACCTATTGGATAGGCAAAGCCTAAAAAGTCCAATTCATGATGTCAGCAATGGTGTGGGAAATAGGGTCTCTTATACCCTGCTGTGGGAAGAGTAAGTTTCTACATCTTCTCTAGAGGAAAATTTAGCCTCTATCTATCAAAATAGCAAATGCACAGACCCTTTGACCAAGCAGCTCCACATCTAGGAATATATCCTACAGGTAAATGCATACATGTGCAAAGGACGTATGGACAAGGTACAGCATTGTAAGTTTACATTGTGCATAAAGGTAAAAGATTACAAATTGCTAAATATTAATCAGGAAGGAACTAATTAAACAAGAATTATTATACATCCAATGTCATGAATTACTACGGAATTGTAAAAAACTCCAAGAAACTCTTAGTTCTTTTTTTTTTTTTTTGGCTTTTTTCGTGTCCGGCAACGGGATCGCAACCCTCGGTGTTGCTCCTGCACCTCGCTCAGCCAGTGAGCGGGAACTGGTCTGTATGTGGGATCCGAACCCTCAGCGGGAGCGCCGCCGTGCTCCCAAGCGGCGCACTGTAGCAGTGCGCCACCGGGCTGGCCCAGAAACTCTTAGTTCTAAGATGGGACAAACCAGCTGGTTGACTCAGTTGGTTAGAACATGTTGCTGATAATACCAAGGTCCAGGATTTGATCCCTATGCAGGTCAGCAAAAAAAAAAAAGGATGACGTCAAGGTATAAGGAAAAATAAAAAACATATATGGGAAAAAAGTAAAAAAACTTACTTTGATTTTTTGTTTGTACATGAAAATTCTGGAAGCGTACATGGGTTATTGGTGACTATAAGGGAGAGAGAGCTTTCACTGTAAACCTTTTGTACCTCTTAAATTTTGAACTATGAATGCATTACTTTTTAAGACAGAAATTAATATATTTTTAAAAAGCCAGAATAACTGGACATCCATAAGCAAACAAATAAAGAACTTTGATCTATACCTAATACTATATCTAAAAATTAGCTCAAAATGGGGCCAGCCCATGGCTCACTTGGGAGAGCGTGGTGCTGACAACACCAAGTCAAGGGTTAAGATCCCCTTACCTGGGCCGGCCCGGTGGCGCACTCGGTAGAGTGTGGCGGCGCTCCCGCCGAGGGTTCGGATCCCATATAGAGACCGGTCCGCTCACTGGTTGAGTGTGGTGTGGGCGCAACACGGAGGGTTGCGATCCCGCTGCCGGTCACGAAAAAAGACAAAAAGGAAAAAAAAAAAAAAAAAGATCCCCTTACCAGTCATCTTTAAAAGAAAAATAAGAAAAAAAAAAAAAAAACCCAAGAAA